GGAGAAAAGTTAAAAAAAATTTTCCGGACTAACATAAGCATAGTCAAAAAAATATTTTCCGGACTGACATAAGCATAGTCAAAAAAAATTTTCCGGACTAACATAGGCATATTGAACATTTTTCGACCAGGATAAGCAAGGCTTACAATTTTTTCACCGCAAACATAACAAAAGCTTTAAAATTGTTAAAATTGCGAACCATTTCATAACTTTCAGCAACTTCGACCATCTTTTATCCCAAACTTTGACCAAATTTTTCCGAGTTTTACCTTCAATTTTAAGCAAATATCAGTTCCTTTTTGACCAACTTTGGGCAAATACCTGTTCCATTTTGACCAACTTTGACCCACGTTTGAATTATTGGGGTGGGGGGGTGGGGTGGGGGGGTGTAACACCCCCCCCCCCCTATAGCGACGTCCCTGGAATAAAGTTTCATCAAATTTTTTATAACTGCGGGATTATAAAAAAAAGGTTCATCATGATCAAATTTTCACTGTCAATATTTGTCGGATATGTCATTAGACGAATTTCAAAATAGTACGTTTTTTGATGACGTATTTTTGGCCAGTACATGAAAAAGTTTATAAAGATGGTGCTTTTTACTGTAAAAAGATATTACATTTCTTCTTAGAATAATCCAACCACTAAATATAGATACTAAAAATCAGATTTAGGACTGGTTGGCGGCACTTTAAATCACAGTTTAAATATATTGATAGTAAACTTTACAATATTTTTGCAATAAATATATCTTTACATTTTTGTTTACAATTTCTTAATTTAGTTCTATATAACTTGCTGAGAAAAAATGTATAAATAGTTTATAAATAGTTTCGAAATTTATAAATAGTTCGGAATATTCAAATGAGATCGAATACGATCATATAATTATTTTATATATATTTATTTGTTATAGTTTAAACGTTTTTATATCAAACAAATTTATAATAGAATGTCATCTGGAAATGATTGCAATTCTTTAATAGAAACAAAATGTAGATTTTTCCCAACCCAAAACCTGCTTTTCTTTTTAGTTTTGCTGGCAGAATGATCCAGGAGAACGCAGGCTTGAATCTCTTCCTCCTCAGGATGGTAGCAAAGTCTACGCCTTCTTTTGGCACTGTTAGTTTGCGCCTGAAATACAAAGACATTGAACAATCTCATCATTATTGATTATTCCTCAGCAAAACCTGAGCTGTCAAGTTCAGATGATTAAAGTGTGACTAACCCCAAATATAAATTTTGGTATGTGTAAGAAGAAATGTAATATATATTTATATACTGTCAAAGTTCCAGATATGATGTCATTAGGTGAATTTTTGGTACAAAAAACAAAGGAAAACTAATTTGTAGTTTACCTATTGACATCATATCCGGAAACTTTGACATTACACATACCAAAAATCATACCAAAAATCACATTACACATACAGTACCAAAAATCATATTAGTGGTTAGTCGCACTTTAAAAACCTGGGCCAGTTGTTCAGCGCTTAGCAAAGAAATAATTTACCCTTTAGAAGTATGTCAAATCGAAATATTTAATATTGTATTGGTTTCATCATCAGTGCAGTTTCCTGATGTTCATCTCGTATTTATATTAGTTGCATTTATATAAAACGTTTTAATATATGATTGATGTGACCATATAGTTATAATCTGACCTATACCTTCACTGAATTACACGTTTCAGGAGTGATATCTCTTGGATTCTCTCCAACATTTTCACTGCACTGTAAAGGAAGAGGCTTAAAAAAGGAAGCAAGTATTAATCAACGAACGACACATAAAGTCATACAGTTCAGTTGAGGATTCACAATCCCAGATCTCAAGAATTTTCGTATATTAAAATACTACACGGCAAAAAACGCCGAGACCGTTGCTCAACAGGACTGAACAATGTTTTGCTGCCCACGTTGTTCACACTTGTCAACAATATTGAACAATACTGTTGAGCATGAATCGGGTGTAACAATATTGTTCAATGTTGTTGACAGCTTTGAACAATGTGGGCAGCAAAACATTGTCCAATCCTGTTTTCATCAGTATTGCATCAACCTGAGCGTTTTTTGCCGTGTAGTATAATTACTATCGCAAGCCAAGTACTGCCTCAAAGATTACGATGACGATTAACATTTCTATAGCGCAAATTTACATGTGCATATGATCAAATGTGCTTTACATCAAGTATATTACGCTTACCTAATTACTTATACTTAGCCTGGACTTATTTTATCTTTACAACAATTGTGATATTACTTTCTGACTGTGTTTATCCTAACCAGCCTGTCAACTTTCCCTGTGGTAGGAAACCAGAGCACCAGGAGAAAACCCACGACTTTCGGCAGAGCGTTGACTGACTCTTTTCACATGAGTCCGTAGCGAGAATCGAACCCACGAACTCAGAGGTGAAAGGCGCTTGCTACTACGCCACCGAAGAAGCACCATGGAAAGTTAGATGGAAAGTTAGATGGAAAGTTAGATGGAAAGTTAGATGGAAAGTTAGATGGAAAGTTAGATGGAAAGTTAGATGGAAAGTTAGATGGAAAGTTAGATGGAAAGTTAGATGGAAAGTTAGATGGAAAGTTAGATGGAAAGTTAGGTGGAAAGTTAGATGGAAAGTTAGATGGAAGTTAGGTGGAAAGTTAGATGGAAAGTTAGATGGAAAGTTAGATGGAAAGTTAGATGGAAAGTTAGATGGAAAGTTAGATGGAAGTTAGGTGGAAAGTTAGATGGAAAGTTAGATGGAAAGTTAGAAGGAAAGTTACGCTGGGTACATTATAATGTTTTCCACTTCATCTGTTGACAGTGTTGAGAGGACACATATTTTTGGGTTTGAAATAACTTCACCAATTCCAGATGGAACACTGAAAGGTTATAAGTCGATACGACAAACGGCAAGCAATGACAAATTTTATGTTCTAGGGCAATAATGATACAATGGACTAGTGAGTAGTGGTGTTCCGAAACGGAAATAGACCATGTACGGAGTCTAGTTAGTGCAGTTTACCTCAAAATCCAACAATTTCTCCGTATCTTGTGTCATTTGGTTACTTCTTGTATTCCTAGATCGTTTTTTGTTCGGGTAATCGTCGATGAGCAGAGTGGATATTTCGCACTGGAATAATAAAAACTTATGTTGCAAGACCAACTCGACACGGCATGTGCAATAGTGCAGCTATAAAAGCACTTAATAAAAATATCAAAAAGTGTGATAATTACATGGAGCATTGAAACGTATTTATTTGGATCTGGAGAACTTGTTTTTGGGCATTTTCGATCAGTATCTAATTTGCGCTTTTCATTCTTAAATGGTGTCTATATAGAAAAAAAGAGAGAGAGAGAGACTATTTCAGATATTCATAGTACTATGTCAAATCAATCCCCTGTACTGTATATGTACCAATCAGTCTTTAACAAAAAAAAGACAAAAAACGACAAACCTTTCTGAATATGTTTCTCTTTGCGCTCGGTTGATTAGTTTGGTTCTTGGGTGTTTTCTCAGAAACGTCAAACCTCACTTTCTTGACAGACTTCGCTGCTGTTTGGATTGGCTAGATGTAATGTCAAGTGCAGAAGAGTGAACCTTTGCCCTTTGGAATATTATTTACCTACACCATGCTACAATGTCAATATAATTACAACACAAGGCCCAAATTACAGTAACGAGAATAATATTCCTTAAAAAATTTACCTGACTTTCTGGCGTTCGTTCACTGTAGTTACTGACTACGGTGTCCTGAAGTTCGTTTTGTCCTGAAGAGATTCACCAATATGTTTAGTTACAACACTCCCAACGGACTAGAATCCGACACGATACAACAGTAATTATAGCAACAACGCAATGTCAATGTGTACTATACCGCTATACTATCCTATACTGTATATACTTTCTCAAAACATGAACAATTCGCAAGCAAAACACAAAGGAAACATCAACATCGTATTGTCTGATACCACCTCAATTTTCTCGTTGAATTTCTCGTGAAAGTCTAAACAGTTATACTATAGTTCATTTGAGAACATAAATTGAGTACTTTTACTCATAAATTGAGTACTTTACTCAGATTAGAGCGCCCGATCGTTGGAGCACAGGTTAGAGTCGTTACGCGATCAGTTCGACTCCAAGTTTCAATTCATTTCGATTCATATAATCATTTTATACGGTTTGGAACATCACCTTCAATAGCTGATATATCATTTGGCACAAAATCTTGATTCATGTTATGACAATCTGCAAGAACTGTTGAATTTCGTATCATCTTATCATCTAGATCTACAATCCCTACTTGCACCATAGAACACAACGACATATCTTGTACTGTGAGGTTACCATCACTAGGTTTCGCTGCCAACATTGTGCATGCTGTCATTGACTCAACTGCCAATCTTGTCTGATTCCTTGTACGTCTTAAGGTGCTTACGTTTGTCATAGAAGTGGTGGATATTATGCTTGGTGTCTGGGTGGAATTTTTCGCTGCTGTTGGTGGTGCTTTTCTAATGCTGGCTGGTGTTGTCTTAGTTAAACTGGAAATACAAACTTAAGATGAAATGTTTCAGGGGAGGAAACATGGAAAGGACGAACAAAGCAAAGAAAGATAAATAAGGGGGGGGGGGGAAGGATGCATTTAGAGGTGAAAGAACTGGTGAAAGAATAGACCTTTCCCTTTATAAGTGAAATTTTGATCTAGATATGCCTGGACAGCTTGAAAGAGCATCACAAAATTAGTAATATTCCGAAGTTTCGTTGCGAAATGTTGTAAAATACGGATAGTATAGGCTATAGCCTTGCGAAGTTTGCCGTTTTTCAGTCATTTTGCATTACAAACGGGAAATTGATAATCTGACAGATAGATGATCAAACTGATTATCAATTCCCATTTGTAATACAAAATGATTGAAAATCGGCAAACTTCACAAGGCTATATTATCCGCATTTTACGACATTTCGCAACGAAACTTCGGAATATTACTAATTTTGTGATGCTCTTTCAAGCTGTGATGAAATTTTTGTCCAGGCATATCTACATCAAAATTTCACTCATAAGGGGAAAGAAAAAAGCTAGGAAGAAATAAAGGTCGATTGTTAGGAGACAGGGAAAAACAAAGATGGGGAATGAATGGGAAGAAAGGATGGCAGGAAGGGGAAATGGAAGGGAAAATAAATGAGTGGAAAATGTATAGGAAGAAGGGAATGGATTGGGTAGAAGTTAAAAAGACAGTGAGGCAGGGTGAATGGAAGAAATGAAAGGAAATGTGCAAGGAGAGAAATAAGAGATGGAAAGAATAAAATAGAAGTAAAAAACGAAAGTAGGAAGGAGAGAATAGAGTAGAAGGTACAAAAACACTGGAGGAAAGGAAATGGGAATTAGTGGAGAAGGTAGGAAGGGGGAATAGAGTAGAAGGTAAGAAACATTCAACAAAGGTAAGGTGAATGGAAGGAATGGAGAACAAGGTGAAGGGAAGGGAGAAATATGAGTTGAAGGTAAAAAAAAAACACTCAACAAAGGTGTAGGGTCAGGGTTAAGCCCTGTTAAGGAATAGGTAGGGACCTTCAAGAAATTACAAGAGAAAGTAAGAATGGTAGCTTATTTGATAGTGCTTTAATTTACAAAATAACAAACACCTTGTACCTTCCTTGACTTCGTTTTGTTCTTGGAGGTTTAACAGAACTATCTGCGGCTTTAAAATAAAATAAAATAAAATCTAAACTGAATGACTTCAGTTTGCTATTCAGTAATTCACAACAAAACAAAAACATCGAACCAAATGCACATACTAATTAAATTATCCCAACCTGGTTTTGACAACTCGCCATGAGAATCTTGGGTATTAGTTTTTAACTTCTTGGACTGTGAAGTCCAATATGTCCTGAATGGGTTTTTTTTGGAATATGTTTTGATGATACTTGATTTTAAATTTGTCTCTGGGATATCCCAGGAATCACTATCAGGTTCCATAGTTTTTGTGTTTGCTTTTTTGTTAATTACATTGCTTTTAGAGGCGGCTGCTTGACGTCGTGTTGTTACTGGCATCTTAAACCTGGATAGAAAAAAATAGAAGCAGAAATGATCAGTTAGGGCAGATCCAGGTGTATTATAGTATACATACAGCATGCTTGCTTCATGTTTGTTCCAACAAGATGCTACTTAACTATTAAGCCGAACTGCATCCTGATGCACCCTACTTTATTATTTTACTCTGTCTAATGCCAGATGATTTTACTTGTCAAGGGGTTAAACCATTAATTTGAAATGCACCAGTGTTTTGTTCGGAAGTTCAAACAAAAACAATTACCCTTAAAAACAATTATATGAAAAAAGTCTATAGGTGGCCTATAGGGAATGTTCCAATTCCCTATAAAAACCTTTAGGCACCTATAGGGCTCTATAGGCTTATATAGGCATCCCTATAGGCCACCTATAGAAAATATTCCAATTGCCTATAAAAACCTATAGGTTTCCTATAGGAACCTATAGGTTGGCACCTATAGGCCAGGCCTAATATATATAGACTTTTTTTGCAAGGTGCCTGTCTCCAATTTTGCAACTTGTTCCAAGCTGAAGACTCCACAGACATGTTATAACCCTAAATAGTCCTTACGAAAAATGTCTATAGGCCTATAGGAAATGTTCCAATTCCCTATAGAAGCCTTTTATAGGCACCTATAGAGCTCTATATAGGCATCCCTATAGGTCACCTACAGAAAATGTTCCAATTGCCTATTACAGCCTATTTGCCTATAAAAACCTATTTTGGTTTCCTATAGGAGTCTATAGGTTGGCCTATAGGCCAGGTCTATAGACATTTTTTGTAAGGGAAAACAAATTATGACTGGCAACTTTTCTTGCAACTAGATGAATTAAATAACAGCATTGTTATCCTAGTTGACAGGCTTGGTTTAAGCCTCTTTAATAATTAAGTCTTAACTGCTTTTATCACACCTTGTTGACAAGACGTAGTTTTTAAGTGGGTAGTAGGTGCAGAATTTATAGCAGGTTGTTTATATAGGGTTCAAGGGCTGCATTTGCTGACATCATTTGCGGTGTAAATTTATTATAAAAAGGTCCCATACTGTACATGATACACCTGACATGGAGAATTAATCTGGGTTTTTGTCGCTGTTTTAAACCCGTTATCTGTTGCATTTCCTCTTAATGAAAAAGAGATAAAATCAAGGGTACGATATATAAAGAAACTGTTAAATATAGTGCCTACCTGAATTTAAAAAACAATTTTTCCGTCTCCTTGTGTACATATCTATTCAATTTTACACTCTTTTGAATTATCTCTCGACCTGTCCACCAAAACATAACACTCAGTTTATATCAAAGCTTATGATTGGTCAGCAAAACAATCAATTCGTTTTTCAGCCAATCCAATGCGTCGTTAGTTAGCATGAAATTTCGCGCCAAAAATAAAATTTTTGCGGCAGTGGAGATGTGGTGGACTTTTTGCTTCAGAAAAATTGTATGAAAAATAAAGGATTTTTACCTTCAAAACAAGCGTAATTGATTGAACATAGCAAAAATTGTAAGTAAAGTATTCATACTAATGTGTTTTTTTTTTCAATAAATACGCTTTTTGGTTGTTTATTTTATAATTTACATAGTGGGAAGACTTTTTACCACCTCTATAAACCTCATAGGATATCAATAACAACCTATAAAATTATGTCTCTTTTCTAGTAATTCTAGTATAAATTATATGTCTCTTTTCTAGTAAACTAATTCTCTCTCTTTTCTAGTAATTTACAAGCATGTCTGTACAGTATTTCCATGAAGTATCTTCACCATCATTTCACATGGTTCCACATTCACCATTCATCAGGAAACCCTCTGCCATTGTCTCTTCACCAGTTGCTATTGTTCCAGATGTAGACACCAGCAGGACACTTCTTACAAAAGATGCTAGTTATATTGGTATAAAAATATGTTTGTTTTCTTTCACAGTTAGGTGTTTTATTTCTAAACCAATAAACAGTTGTTTCTTATATATATATATATATAGGAAGGCAGTCACAATTCTTTACCGTGGAAAATGCATCACCTCTCCCAACTGGCCGAGTGCCTTCTGTATCTCCAAGGACACCGCTGAATAATATTAGACAACCGAGAGGTACCATTTTTGGAGCAAATTTCTCCATATTAAACTGAAAGGCTTAGATATCTAGTGAAGTAAGGTTAGATTTATAGTCATAACATTATACTATAATAAACAATATATAAATTTTCATTTGTTTACTTTTAAGAGCAACAAGTTCCAAGCCAAACACCAATAAGAAGGAAAAGTGATTCACCACAGGCACCACCACTTGACCTATTCACTGATGACAACAGTATTTTCTTATAAAGTAGCATAGGGGGATAAGATTACTATATTCATTAGGAATGTGCTAATTAATGGCTGTAACATATACATGTATCTGGCACCAGTAGACTGGGATGTCACTTTCAGTAAGACTTGTGGTGTAGCAGATTGTGGTCAATTTCAGAATTGAGCAGGAACATTTATAAACCATCTCTCAACTATCAACTATCAGACCTATAGGTACCAAGTGTCCTGCATTATAGCATGAAAGTCATGTCATGCTTTTGATATCCCACAGACCCACACACATACCAAAAATTGCCTTAAAATTAAAGTCACACATTTTCATCATAAATTCCATGTACATTTAATTGTTGATGTTTCGATCATCTAGTGCATATTTTAGCTTAATTTCATTAATCAATAAATATATTAGAAATTCAGACATCTCCAATATTCAAGCAGTCTAAGATTTGTGGGAGATCAGAATTGGTTAGATATAACATGATATTAATATTTAGCAATACTGTTTAATAGAAAAGGACATTTTGTGATCAAATATGGCAATTAAAATGCTCTGAGCTGTCACAGGGTGTCACACATTCCTGTCTGCTGCCTGGACTTGGCAGGTCTGAACTATATTTATTCATTTAATATTGGCCATCAAATATAATATCACGTCCTACACATAACGCAAAGCATTCAAACATTTTCCTGCTGTGAATCAGAGCTGCTCTTTGACCACCATCTGCAGCACAATTTGTACATAGTCAAACCTGAATCCCACCTGTTTGGTAAAATAACTGGAAAGAATTCCTTATTTTTTCAAGAAGTTACTACCAGTCTTTGTAGTGCTGTTGTATTGATAAATAACCTTCGAAAATGCTGCAATTAGTTGAGTTCTTTTCATGATTTGTTGTGTTAATTATTGAATAGATTGCTGTAAATTACGATTGTCAACCTTGTCAACAAGTGTTTGAATAATCGAATAAATTACGTGCAAGACAATCGCCTGCTGGTGTGTTAATTATTCCTGTCGCATATTAACTATATTAACTTTTATTTTCACTGACAATCTTTGTAAAAATCCTGCCGAAATCGTGAATCTAAACAAAGAATAAAAAGTCTATGCAACTAAAAAACAATGGGTGAAATGCGTCAACATTAAGTTTAATTAAAATAAGAATGATTTGTGGTTTTTGCACGAGGCGTGGTTTTGTAAGCAAACCGGAAACGTTAGATTTGCATTATGTAGTCAACATGATAATACAAAAAAAAATTACGCCGGTGTCTGCAGAAAAACAGGCATCCTATACTGGTGTAAAAACAATCTGAGGTATATGTAAAAGTACTAAACTTCACAAAATTGGTGTGAGATCAAAATATTCATTTTGTTCATTCGTACAAGTGTGTTTCGCTTGACGGATTTAGTACGATTTCTTCGATTTTGAATGGGATATTTACGTATGTCTATTTAACAGGAAGTTTTTATGCTGAGTAAAGTGGCTACCTATATTGTATTCGATATGCGTTTACGACAGGGAATAATAACATACTCTTGGGAATATGAGCTAGAGGATATATTGTTGTAATACATTGTCAAAATATGGCGACTGACATTAATGAGAATATTAACACGGGTGATGAAGAAAATCCTGATCTTTCCCAACCTCAAAATGAGAAAGATACAGATTGGAAAAGACGTACACTCGAACTTGAAGATCAGTTGTGTATACTAAGGGAAAGAGTCAATTCTCAGACAGGAAAAATACGTGAAGCGGTTTCCCAACGAGTATGTATACTATGTATATTTGATGAATTGTCAATGTCACAAATGTATAGTATTACAAATGTCACAAATGTATAGTAACATTAATACGTCGCAATTAATAATTATGCTTTATCTAGAATGTATTCGTAGAATGTCGTAGAGTATCATAAATCATGATTGTTTATGAAAATATCAGTCTTTGATCAAGGTGTATTTCCTGGGTATGACTATAACAACGTCTGAAATGTGATACCGAAGGTCGTAAAATGTCATTATTCGCCTTTACGAATATTCTAGACATAAACACTCTTGTCACAGTGTCTGTGCATAAAATTTGGCCTATAAGGCTCTATGTTGCTAAATAAAACGAAACATGCTTCAAAATAAAAGGAAATATGCCTTTTTTCCTTGACGCCATTCACCACATGTCGATATTTTTGCTTTCGCAATTGACAATTGTGCACCCAGCTTGCTAGCAATTTCAGTCAACCTGTCGATTTTTTATAACAAATATCTGCAATATGTTCCCGTTTTTAAAAGAAAAAAAAATCCAGGGCCGGCTGAGGAATTTTTAAGCTGTCAGACAAGTGCAGACAGATTCGCATTAAATTTTAAGCATCTTCACTTTACCAAATTAAAATACAATAGGTTTTATTTTGACAGAAAACAATCATGTTTAAAATATCACAATATGTTTTCTTCTAGGCGGGTATACGTAATCGAGAGTAGTTTTACTGCCCATATTGAGTTCATGTTTTGTTATTTGGCCAGCTAAAACGTGTTAATACATTTATATCTTTTAAGTTTATGTTTACGCGTTTTGTCCTAGATGGTTAATACATACCATGCATATCTTATAATCAATATTTGAAACACGTGGGCCATAATTAATATTTAGGAAAGTGACTGGGATAAGTGACCACAACTTTAATAAAACATAAGTGATTCTTATTCTCAACCAGAGTGCAATAATTTATTTATTCCCCATGATTATTCTTCTTCATGTAATATTTTCCTTGAAATTTCAATGGCCAACATCAGTAATATGACACCAGTAAGAGCTCGTTAACATCATCACTTATGGCACCAGTCCTGCATGGGCTCTAGTGTCAGATGAATATCCACAGCATGCTATTATTATAAGTAATAGGCAAGCATCTTGTTCTTTTACAAGACTTTTATCCTATAAACAGACACTAAATAATAGAAATCCAGGCTTTATAAAAATTGAAATCTTTGCAAATTCTATTAGTTTGTAAAATTTGTCTCTCTTGAAATTTGTCTAATATTATAGTAATCATATTTAAATAAAATGTTGACTATATTTGTATATTGATATTTTCAAGAGACATACTTTAAACAGATGTAATTTGATATAATTTGAACAAAAATAGATCTGATTCAGCTCCTCACATGACAGGTTTTTTCAAGACTATTTACTCAGTAGAGTACATGAAAGTGATGAGTCCTGTGGGGAACCCTATTTGATATAATATAGGTGACATGCATATATGTACATTAATTATTAACTTGTCACAAGAGATTACAACATAACACAGACCTTGCATTCTGCATGAACGTCTATGCAGTAGGGGCTTGATAAATCACTATACTCTTGTTTTTCTAAGGACCGTAATAAGAAAAGACACAGTCCCCAAAACTGTCAATTGTCAAATAAATTTAAAAACAATCTTTCAGGAACAAATACAAGCTCTGTGCCATGATGATTTGCAAAAGAAAAAAGAAAACCATAGAAAACCATGAAAATTTGGGCATATTTTAGAAAAATCAAGAATATTTGGGCAGATTTATCAAAAAAAATTGTGCAAACTTTGAACTGCCTCCCCCCAGAAAGCATTAGGCCCGTACACCCTATAGTAATTGGTTGCAGTAATTGGTTTCAGTAATTGGTTCCAGGCTGTTGCAGATACCCAACCATCAACTCAGTTTATGTTATTGTATTATATATGTATGCGTGTGTATTGATGTGTGTGTATGTTTCTGTACAGTACTGATGGAAAAGCAATTAAATTAAATTAAAATTATGATGATTCAATTTGATGCAGGGGCGTAGGAACCGGGGGGCAAGGGGCCAAGACCCCCCAAGTTTTCAGAAAACACAAAAACTGCCCTCTCTCTGGCGGTAAAGTGCCCTTTGCCTTTGTGAAAATGTTGCTCAGATTGCATTTTTTATGATTGCAATTATTTGTTCTTCAGAAAACACAAAAATTGCCTTCTCTCTGGTGGCAAAGCGCCCTTTGCCTTCATGAAAAATGTTCTTCAGATTGCATTTTATATGATTGCAATTATTTTTCCTGCCCCCCCCCCCCACCCCCGTCCTAACATTTCCGTAAAAAATTTTTCAGGTGCCCTTTTCATTCCAAAAGTGCCCCTAGAAACCCCCCCCCCAATTTTTTGATGCTTCCTACACCCCTGATTTGATGTTCATTGTGACTGCAAGTTGCTGACATATTATTATATGTGTAAAACCACTTGTAATATATGACATTGATCATGCAGGAATTACAATTGTCAAAGAAACAAGAAAATTTCTTTGTGAAAATTGTGAGCTTGACTCTCACAGTTAAAAAAAAGTAATTCCACAATAAAACTACACTGGTGAATTACAAAATAATGAAATGCAGTTATTAGTTTCATTTCTGTTTCTTTTTCAGCTAAAGAGTGCTGAAGACAATGCAAAACAAGCAGAGGAAAAGGCTGAAAACTTATTGAAAAAGGTTTGGACTTCAATATGCATAGAAAAGTGACAGGAGGGGATTTTCAGCTTGCACAATTTTTTTTGTGGAATTTTAAAGCTACTGTTTTCTTTGCCTTCCTCTTTACTTGATTTTTTGTTTGTTTTCCTTTGCAAGGTTTTTTGTTTTTCCCCACTGAGCCTCCATCACTTTTCTAATTGTCCGCCCCTTAGCATATTTCATCAGCTATCATTCATTTACCCCACATTTACCCTGACATAATTGACTTCCAATTGATACATTTTGAAACGTTTTTTAGTTCTTCACCACATTTCTGATTCCTTATAACTTTTTGAAACTTTAGATGCAAGAACTTGAAGAGAGAACACTTTTTGCTGAAAGTAAAGTAACAAGATGTTACGAGAGGGTGAGCTTGCTTCCATAATATTCTTCATTTATGTTTTTGTTCTTGATTTCTTCTTTTAGATCATATTTGTTACATTTTGCGCTAAATTGTCATTAAATTGTCCATTAGAACCAACACCTAGAAGATATTATAGAGCAAAAGGAATCAATTATCAGACAACTTCGAATGGCCGTGTCTGAGGTATAGTAGTACTACTACTCTTACATTTGAACGGTCTGCATGCCAACGTAGGTAGTGACAACCAGAAAGCTGAGGATATGAGCCAAACTAACTTCCTGACGAATGGGCTTCGCTCGAAATGTCGAAGTTTACTTGTATTTTTGAGGTAGTTGAATCCCTCGTAATCCAAAACTTTCCGCTCTTAAATTTACCTGTTGAAACGCACCTAGGACAGATTTGGAACACAAATTAAATTAACGTGTTTGGAACGCGCTTGATACACAGCCAGAAGTTCAGAACGCATTTCAAACGTGTCCGGAACGCCTTTTGAACACATTAGGACGCATTTTGAACGATTTCGAACGCATTCGGAGCTCATTTGCAACGCAATCGGAGAAATTTTCGAGCGCATTCGATCCGTACGCATTTGAAACGCATCCATGACGTATTTTGAAGAATCCAGAGTGCATTTAAGAGAAAAGAAAAAACCTCCACACGTTTGGAATGAATGTGAACATTAGAGACGCGTATGAAACGCATCCATTTCTCCGAAATGCGTATAGGCGCAATTGAAACACATTTAGAACGTACCCATTTGGAACACGTTCAGAACGCATTTGAAACTCATTTAGAATATGGTTGCAACGTTTTTGGGACGCAACCGGAGCACGCTTGGAACGGACTTGGAACGCGTTCAAAAAGCATTTTGGATGCTTTCAGAACGCATCTAGAACACGTCCAGACCAAATTTAATACGCATCCGAAACGCCGTGATTTAACTCTGCCTGACTTGTACGAATCCTGTTGAAAGTATTTTGAAATTTTATAGCAAAGCAAAAACGAAGTTGACGCAAGATTGTTCGAAGAAAAAGTGGCCAAAGTAAAAGAATGGGTGAAACAGGTAAATGATGATTGAATGTTGCATGTTGCAGGAATCGAACTCCAACTGTAGAAGTGAACATGCACCGTTCCATCGAGTCTGAAATAACGAGTCTGATATTTATTGCAAGCACTGTTCCCTTTCTTGTAGTGTAAACTGACAATTGATGATCTTCAGGCGCAAATACAAGAGAAAGAAGAGATGATTGAAAGATTAAAGAATGGTAAACGAGGTCTCTATTGTGTTCTCAACGCATCTGGAACTTTTTTGTAACAAATTTTTATACTGTTCTCAGTGCGCCCGAACCACGTCCGACACGAAATTTGGAACGCAATAAACTGTACTGTTTATATCTGTCACGTTTTAGAGAGAGTTACTATTTTTAGACTTTTGCAATTTTGTATTCTTTTGTATTTTAAACTTAAACCTAATCCTAACCCTAACCCAATACTCTAATCCTAACCCTAATCTTAATCATAACCCTAATGCTAACCCTTTCCCTAATCCAAACCCTAATCCTAACGCCCGTATTCTAAAAGCTCACTCACACTCAATGAGTGGAGGTTTAATCTGAGCTACTCTTGAGTGTCAATGCTGTTTTTGAATAGCCGGAGGGTGAGTAATCACATAGTAAGGTATGACACTAGCCCTCCAGCTATTCAAAAACAGCAATAACACTCCAGAGAAGCTCAGATTGAACCTCCACTCATTGAGTGTGAGTGAGCTTTTAGAATACGGGCGTAAAAGTCTAAAAATAGTAACTCCTCCTAAAACGTGACTCATATGTAAGAGTAGAATCGTGATTGGGCTCAAGATCAAAGAGAAACATATTCACGTGCACAAAACATGGGGATATAACCATAGGCGTACCGGGCGGGGGGGGAGCGGTAGCCCCCCCCCAGTTTTTTGGGCAGTCGGGCAATATCCCAGTTTTTTGGGCAGTCGGGCAATATTCGATCAACAGTCGGGCAATTTTGGTTTGGAATTAAAAAAAATGGGACAAATTCTGTCAATTTTGTCTAAAATTAAGTAAAATTTTTTGGCAAATTTTGTGATTTTTGGAAAATTTGTGTTATGTTCCGAAAAATATTGGTTGTCCGGAAAATTTTTTTGACCCCTAAAATGGTACACTGACCGAAATTTTTTTGGCGACGGGGGCGGGGGGGGGGGTCGCCAAAATAATTTTTCCGGAAAAAAATTTTTGGTGCTAGTCGGGCAGAATCCCGAAATTTTTTGGGCAATGTGGAATTTTTTGGGCAAAAAAGCTACCGCCCCCCCCCCCAGAATTTAGCGGCCCCGTACGCCTATGGATATAACCTTCATGTGCGCCTGTCATGCTAAAACAGGCAAGCATGGAAACGAGGCCACTGGTGCAAAAGTGCAATAAACAATAAAAGTTTATTGTAGGTCTAAATTTGTACCGGGTGTCCCCCCCCAAAAAAACCCCCAAAAAACAAAAAAAAAACTGGACACTGTTTGATTTCATGTAATGTAAAAGCTATAAAAGCTATCGCAATGAAGGAAAGATCATTGCATTCAGAAAGAACTAACGTAGATTTTGATATATAGCACGTGAATTTGCATGCAATATTGAGCGAGATACAACCAAAATAAAAATATTTATTATTTAACAAGTATATATAACTGCATACAGTCAGTAGGTAATTATAATTACCTATGCAGTTATATATACTTGTTAAATAATAAATATTTTTATTTTGGTTGTATCTCGCTCAATATTGCATGTAAATTCAAGTGCTATAATATATATCAAAATCTAAGTTAGTTCTTTCTGAATGCAATTATCTTTATTTCTTTGCGATAGCTTTTAGGTTACATGAAATCAAACAGTGTCAAGTTTTTTTTGGACACCCGGTATATAATCTTCCGTTCGAAAATTGCATCTACAAAAACTCTTTAACTGTTAGTTCTATCAAGCGAGATGCCCATTTAAGGTTACAGGACACCCTTTTTGGCGTTTTGCGGAAAATCGCTACTGCGCGCTCAATATCAGTCCGATTTTCATCAAATTTTCACCAAATGTTCTCCAGTGCATGCAAAATATGGTAAAGTTGTAAAATTAACAAACAATAAAATAATGTAAGAATTATTCAAGAAAATCTTAAATCGCGGTACCGTTACGCTTTTGAGTTGTGCTCCTGCTGGTTTTAAGTTATATTTATGAAAATATCATTTTTATACAGTAAATAGTTGTTCTAAAAAATTGTGTTCGGAAATTTTTGTTTATTTCGTCATTCCGCTGATATGGCGATTTCTTTGACGACTGCAATATATTTCTGAATTGTTTGAGTGAATTGCTCTTTATTTTTAAAATATCCAAAATTAAAAAAAAGCCGAACACAGTTTTGAAACTGACGTATTTAGCTATGACCTGTGAAAATTTGAGAAAAATTGGTTAAAACCCGCAGGAGCACAACTCATTTGAAAATCAGTAATTACCGTAAAATTTTTCGGGAGAAAATTGAATTTGAATGTTACATTTTCAATGTTTTTCTTATTGCAGCGAAATGTATTTTATTAAATAACTCTGCGAGTTTTCAACATTTTTCGTTCAAACTTGGTCAAATAGTAGAACTAGTCTAATGCTTTCATTGAAACCAATAAAAAAATTTTAGGCAAAATTAACACTCAAAGGTGTTCTGTAACCTTAATAACTCGATATTTACCCATACTTTATTAGAGCTGTGCAAACTCCCGTTATTTTAGCTTCGGCAGTCAAAACTCCGGCTCCTGCTCCGGCAAGGAAATTTTAAGGGAATTTCATATTTAATAGTAGTAGCAGGCGAAAGTATTTCAGTGTAATTTCAGAATTCATTTTATTCCTTTTTGAGCTTTCTCCTTTACTCATCACATATACATGCTTCGGTGCTTGCTTAAACAATGTTTTGCAGAAAGTAAAACCGCATGGCAGCGTGGTATTTTCGCCCAAAATACATCGTGGTCAGCGGATTTTTGTATCAAAAAGCGATAGCAATGCGCTTGCAGAATTTTCAAAACCACGAATCGGATCGGAGCAAGTGATTAAACTTTATAGTAACTTAGTTCAAATCATTCAACTTAATTTTTCCATTTCCAAAAGTTCATAGAAATATGAAATAATGTTTTATAATTTTCTCTGCCGGAGTTTTCCGGCCCCGGCAAAATATGCCGGAGCTCCGGTACTCCGGCGCACAGCTCTATACTTTATATGACTAAACATACTTTACTCTGAATTTGACTTTTACCTTCTCCAGGTTACTCGCAACATAACGGTGTCCATCTCAGCCGAGTAACAAGTTTGAGCGACACAGAAAGTAACAGTCCAAAGATTGCGCGAGCTAGATCGAAATCCGCGGTTACGTTGTCCCGAGGTGTTGTCAAAGTTAGCGAAATTGTTCCGGCTGTCCCCCCTAGGAGAGCGTCTCTTGGTATACTACATCGCGCAAATAGTAACCTGAATAAATCTGCCGGAAAATGTGGGCTTATGGCCTTGAAGGAGTCGGATAGCACTAGCTCTAGTCCTTTAAGTCAAAGCGAGAAATTTAAATTGAAAAATGATGAGAGTGGTGGGATTAACATTAAATTATCAGAAAGCGAAGAAAATTTAGATGAAAGAACGTATATGGTGTTAGAACCTGAACCGGATCATGAATATGCCCTAAATAAATCGAAATTTTTTGTATCTGCTGAAAAGGAGGACGAGAGTAAACCCGCAGTGCGCATGACTATGAGAGAGAGATTAAAACAATTAACTCAATCTAGTGAGGACGAAATTGACCATACTAGTGATAGCGATGTGTCCCCAGCAGTTGACAAACAGAAGAGTGAGCTAGTGAACGAGTTAGCGAAATCATTAGAAGACCCAAAACAAAATAATGATACTAAGATAGGACAACAACAGGTTGTTACTGTAAAATTTAGCGCCGATAATGGAATGCTGTCTGCTGAGGGTGCTCAAGTGACCACGACTGGGAAACCGCTCGGAGACAATGAGAGAGATAGCACAAATGAGGCTAATAAAGACTCCAAGGCTAGCCAAGCGGGCAAAGAACCGCGTTTTAAGTTAAAACCAGGCACAGACGCACAAGGATATACTAAATTACTACATGTCGATGAAAGGGATGAAGACGAGAGAGGGAGCGATGGTTCTCTGTCGGCTCCGGGCAGTACGTTTATAAGTTATCTTCCACTGGATTCCTCTCGTAGTACGCTTGATACAGATAGTGGGATCAGCAGTGTCCCAACTCCACCTGTAAGAAGATCCTGGGTAAGTGCAAACATCCATAGTCAAAATATAGTGAACGTTTTTCCTATATGTTTAGCTCTGTCTTTAATGGTCTGTGCCATTGTAGGTAGTACCAATATTAGAAGAAAGCTTCTGATTGATAGGGATACTACGTAACCTGAAAAATACAAGGAGAGCTTCGATGTTTTGAGCGAAGGACCTTCGTTGGGAAGTTAGTAGGGCCTTCCCTCGACACGTCGAAGATCTTCCTAAAGGCACAGTTCAGCCTTTTGAATGATGGTTTTTAAGGTGCATTTCAGCCCTTTCAATTGAAAAAAACTAACGCATAATTCAAGATCAGTAAACTCAATGTTTTTAACAAAATGTTTTACAATGTTAAAAACATTAAGTTCACTGCTCTTGAATTATGCTTAATTGATTTTCCTAGTTAGTTTCATCAATTAAAAGAGCTGTAATGCGCCTTAAAAACCGTCATTCAAAAGGCTGAACCACATGTGCCTTTAAGAGCAAACATTTAATAACAAAACTTTTGCTGTTCCAGTCACAAGACCACAGAGTGCTAAATCCAGTCGTGAATGGAGTTATTGCTTCTGAAGAATGTAAGACAACTAAAAAACTAAACTAAGTTTATTTTTATTGGGTTTATCTTAACTGTCCTCCTCTATAGAGGTCCAGGAAGAACAATCCCATATTGGTCCAGTATTATTACTACTGGAGGAAACCTAAACTTAACTAACTTCTGTATTTGTACTGGATATAGCTCTTTCATTTCTAAACTGTTCTCCCAAGAGATCCAGTAAAGCGAACATTTCTTGTTTGGTACCGTATAGTATCACTGAAGATTAAGATTTAATTTTTTTGTAGTTTTGCATGGCGATAGTATAAGTTTTGGTTTATATCACGTAGATTTATTATTGCAAAGCTTTGGATCCGTAAGTCCGTATTGTCGTCAATGCTAATAATATAATGATTAATATATTAAGATTTACTGAGCGTTTTATTTAAACTCTGTAGGGAGACGAGGATCGGATATCGACATCATTAATGGAACACAAGATGGATTTTCATGTAATCTTACCCAAGTAGGTTCACTGTTGAAACAGATTTCTAAAAGGGAGTGTGACCTTCTTACTGTCAGTGGCGTAACCAGCCTGACGGTTTGGTCCCGCTATGCAAATTCAAAATTATTATCATTATTCATTTCTTGAGAAATTGATTGTTTTCACAGTCAATGAACACCGAAATACATATTTGCGTAGTGGGACTGAGTCGTCAGGCTGGCTATGCTACTGCTTACTGTGAAACATATATATTGTGTCCTGTATTTCATTTTTATTATTGTATGTTTTTATATTCAAATAGATTCAAAGTTGTCCTGTGTATGCCCAGCTCGAAGGGGTAAGAGTTACCGTTTTTATGTGCTAAATCAAACTATAATAGGATTTCTTGGGCAAATTAGGCCGCATCAGGGCTGCTCTCCAAGAAAAATAATTTGAAATTGTCTTGCGTTAGGCAGGATATATCGTTAGCCTGCGTGGCAGTCGCTTTAATTTATTGAAGGTTTTGAGGATTTTTGAATAAATGGCGGGTTAAAAAAATGGGCGAAGAAAAAAAGGGCGAGAAAAAGCGGGTGAAGGAAAAATAAAGCTTTATTGTACTGTATTTGGGTCTGTGGAAACTAAGTTAACGTACGTATAATATGGTTCATTTTTATCCAGAGGGCATCAGAAATCCAAAGTGGTCCTTGTACTGGTGATTCAACAGACTCTTCAGACAATGAAACAGATAGCGCGCTTGAAAGCGACTCTCTGACTGTTTCTCGAGCAAAAAGTGTGTCAGTCAGTGACAGATTGCTGAGAAGAGGAAGTGCCAAAAAGAAGGTGCTAAAGACTTGTGCGCAATACACCACACATAACTTGAAAAGTGTAAGATGATTCTAAAATACAATTGATAAAGCTATAGTGTAAATAAATCAATAATAGGTTATAGTTTAGTAAACTGTACTATAGTAAACAAGAAAATTTGTCTACCCATGGTTGTTTGTTTTGTTTACCATACAATGACGTATATCATCCCGTTCCAGGAATCACTTCAGAAAACTGGTTATTTATCAAAACTCGGTGGTAGAATCAAGAATTGGAAACGAAGATGGTTTGTTCTCAGTGAGAATAAATTATCTTACTACAAAACCGAGGTAAACTTTTGTATCATATGTTTGGCCAAGGAAGAGCCGTCGGAAGATGTAAGGGCCAACTTCTCTCCTGGCTCTTAAAATTTAATATAGAGACATTCCACTTTAAAAATGCGGCCGTAGTTTTTTTAGGTTTAATTCTGAAAATACTATTTCATTTTAGAACGATGTAAATAAAAAGGCGTTGGGACAGATTCCTCTGGATGGATTTTGTGGGATAACAAGAACCGAAGGAAGTTTATCCTTCCAAGTAAGATGCAGTATTGTTTATGTCCTTCTTCGCATAATTCTTTGAAGTTTACCGGCCTTCCTAACCATGTTAATTTCTATTAACTATGATTTGTTCTAAAGTTAAGTTGTCTAAATTTTGTCTTCCATTTTAGATTGATACTGCGAAGCGAAAGTATTACTTGACTGGCGAATCTATTGAAGACATCGATGGTTGGCTAAAAGGTATCATGAATTGTGTTATACGTTTGGAACCATTTTTGTTACAGTAGGACATTGTATCACAGCTTTGGTTTGCTGAATTTAGTACTATTTACTAAACTATGCTGTAAACTATCATTAGTCTGGATAACTCTAGCTAAACTGACCTCTATTAATATCACGAGAAAACTGAAGTACCCGGAAAACCGAAGGTATCTGGTATAGCCAAACCGAAAACACCCTTCAGACATGCAACTAATGAACATTCTGCTCTCTTTTCAGTATTACAAAACGTTCTTCGTAAATTTATGACCAGTCCTCTCTTGGCTCAGGTCAATGAGAAGCCTATCATGAGAGGCTGGATTACTAAGGTATATATCACAATTGTAATCCTTTGATATGATTATAGTTTTCCAAATGTATATCCATCTTCACTTGTTTTCAATTGATATTGTTTCAGGTTAAACTTGGCAAGTCCAAACGGGTTTACTGCATACTTCGGGGGAAATATTTATGCTATTACAAAGGCGAAAGCGACCAGGTACGATAAATTAAACTATTTTTATGGGTAGCTCATCGATTCTAAACTGTTCAAACATGTTGCATAATCTTAGTTCTTTATTTCATCCATGCCTGCAGAAGTTAGGCACTGGACGTACGCTACCTCCACAGTACATATATATCCGTCGTAACTTTAATCATATCTCAGTAATCTCCAATAGTCTCTTTCCCTCCTTCCTCATTAACATAGCATCCTTCCTCATTAACATAGTATTCAGAAAAATTTCAATTTCATCATCGTTTTTCTGTTACATGCAAAACCGCTCACCACTTTCCATTTCTCCCATGCAAATGCCAAACTTTCCATGATATCGTCTTCTGTTCCTGCATATTTGACAGCAATCCCATCAATTCCACTCGAGCGACTTTAGGTGACCACCTCTCTAGGCTCTCGACGTTTCATAAATTCCTATTACGTGTTCCTTTCCAGGCACCATTTGGTTTAGTGAATGTGAAAGAAGTCCATATTGAGAAAATTATTGGTGTTGATTCAGAAGACGAACTTAACCATGACGAGGGTGAACAACGCACTGGACGTTTTACTTTGAGATTATACAATGGAAAACAACCAAGTATTAGCTCGGTTTACCTCGTCATTGACAGCAAACAAGATCTTGTAAGTGTCTCAAATATGTGGGTCCACTGTAGATAGTATTCTACAATAAGCTCCCGTGGTTTGTTTCAAACGTGATGGTGCAGTATAGTATAGGTGCCGGTATAGTATTCCGCAATAATCTGTCGTGGGTAGTGTCGGAGCAACCTGAAAACAATATCCATAGGGGCTTTGGAAAACCATGAAAATTCGGGCAAACACTAGGAGAAATCAAGAGAATAGTCGGGCAGATTTATCAGAAAAGATATGAAATTCAGTTTATTTCATTACAATCCTCCATACAAATTCGGGCAAACTTTCAACTGCGCCTCCGGAAACATCAGCCCCGTACACCTATGACAATATCTCAATGACAAATAACTTGTGCAATTTGTATTTCAGAATGCGTGGTTGTATCATTTAACTATGGCATCAGGAAATATCAACCAGATCGGAACGGAGTTTGAACGAACTATTGTGAAGCTCAAGGACGAAGATGATCCGGGTAAGATTTGATCCGAAGATGATCCGGAATAGTTTTCACGAAAGTGCTTGTTCAAATTTCCAAACCCCTTGAACCGATAAATCCCGAGAGATGTATCTTTGTGAAGCAGTAAGAAACAACGAATGTACTGAAAATAGAGACTTTATTGTGTTTTAAGGTGTTGTATATGAATTAGAGAGAAAATTAGTCATTATTCAACCACAAACTTGGATCCTAACAAAAACTACTTCAGGAATTCATATTTTTCTAGAGTCGTAGTCTATGGAATAATCTACCAGCGGACTGTAAAAATTATTCATCTTTCTCGTTGTTTAAGTCAAAACTACATTAGTCTTTTCTTAGACAAACTTTCTTCTTACACACCGCCATAATTAGTCTTATTGCTTGTCTTTTCTGTATGGGATCAGTTGTCAATTGGTACTTTGTCCTGTTCTCCTGTCACACAATTTGTTCTGTAATTCATTTTACGTAGACGTTAGTCTCATTTGCATAAAATATTTTGTATACGTGACAAATTAATTAGATAACAGTTTCACCACGAGTCTGGACGTATCTATATTTTATACAATTCTCTTACAGAGAGTCCACTGTGGAATAGTTGTATTATAACTCATTCCAAAGATCCCTTAGAGAACCCTTTGACCACTCTACCGTCTGATGAACTGGAGAATAAAGCCCTGCAGTTATTTAAGGTAAAACATATTGTATTATGATGCACATCTTGCTAGTTTGCATGCTTGGCACGAAATACAAAATGTGTGATACTTTCCTTTCATTTTCTTTTTTATATTTAGTCTATTCAGTTGTTCTGCGATACGGAGTGTGTCCCAGGCCCCGCGATTGACTATCACGTGGCGTATGCCCAGAATGCATTGCAAATGTGTCTGACTCACATGGAACTGCGAGAAGAGATGTACTGTCAGTTAATGAAGCAAACTGCTAAACGTGTTCATGTCTTAAGCGAATCAGCCAGTGCACTCGAGGTAATGTACCGTAGTATGAACTAAACTAAACTAAACTAAACTAAACTAAACTAAACTAAACTAAACTAAACTAAACTAAACTAAACTAAACTAAATTAAACTAAACTAAACTAAACTAAACTAAACTAAACTAAAGTCTAAACAAACTTTGTTCAGGCCTGGAAAAGTGTGTCCACTTAACATGGTCTGGTTAATTTAACCAGGACGCCCTGATCAAATTAATATAACCAGATTGCTGGTTACATTAACCAGACTATGGTAGGAATTTAACCAGGAATATTCAGTCAGTTAACCCAAGCAGGGTTACTTCTAGGTTGTCCATCATGATAATTTTAACAAGAGTGATTTTAGGCTAAATTTTGATCCAGACAAAAAGGACGAAATCTATCATTATAGCTTAAAAGAACATCCTTGTAAAATTGCCAAATTTGGTTGCAAAATGTTGTAAAATACGGAAAATATAGCCTTGTGAAATTTGAGTAGTTTAGTATTACACGCGGAAAATGCACCACTTATGAGCCGAAAGTGGTGCATTTTTCTGCGCGTAACACTAAAATACTCAAAATTTGCTCATTTCACAGGGCTATATTTTCCGTATTTTACATCATTTCGCGACCAAACTTTGCAATTTTACAAATTTCAGGATGTTCTTTTGAGCTATTATGATAGATTTCGTCTTTCTTGTCTAGATAAAAAAAATAGTCGATAGCTGGTATAAAAAATAGTCGATCAGGCGGTAAACGAACATGGGAAACTACCTACAATACCACAACTATGCTACGGTTGGTCCCACACTCCTTATTAATAGCATACCACTGACTAGTCTTCCATGCTCAATTTTCTAGCGTTTTCTCGCTCCACATTCGGAATGGTTATCTGCCTCGAGGACAAATTCCGTTTCATCAGATGCAACCATTGACCTCCGTCCAATCAGAGAGTATGTGTATGAACAATGTTGGCAACTGTTAATACTGTGCTGTACACTGTTTATACCGCGAGGTCATGTGCTGTGGTTTTTGAAAGCTCACTTGGAAAGATACTCTTCAAAAGAGTAAGTTGAGATTGCCATTACTGTGATTACAGTGTATCATTATTGTTTTTACCCCATTGCAGGGCTTGAAATAACGTTCCCAAAGTTCTCGATCGTGGTGATCGGCAGTCATGACTTTCCCTGCTTTTCAGGTTGGAAACCCTGCTTTTCCACCGATCATAAGCAATTTCTTGCCGATCATTGATCGGCTGTCATTTCAAGCCCTGCCATTGAGCGCCAGTGCTCTCCCTTGACGAGTAAAATCGTCTGGCATTAGACAGAATAAAATAATAAAGTAGGGGGCATTGGGGCGCACCGCAATTAGATAGGATGAATAGATAGTCTGATATATAAGATAGTCTGAATAACCCATTGAGCGCCAGCTGTCAACCCTTTAACGAGAAAATCGTCTAGCGGTAGATAGTAAAATAATAAAGAAGGCGCAATGCAACCTAATGAGTTTAAGGCTTCCGGCCGCTCTGAAGGCAATTTTCTTTTCGAAGGAAATTCGAAATTGTAAGGATTAAATTTACGAATACGCAACAATGCCGAAATTAAGCCAAAGGTTTACCGAATTGTTTTCTAAATTTTTAAGAACGATAATTGGAAAATATGCAAAATACTGTCAACAGTGTTTGGAGAGAACGTTACAAAATGGCGAGCGGGAAGCCGGACCATCAAGAATGGAGGTAAACGTTTATCTCATGAGTACTTTATGGTATCAGGGGAAATCGTCTACAGTACATATATGAATGTCCTGAAATCACGTCACAATAACTTGGTCACCACTTTACGTTCATTACGTAGTATTCAGAATAGTAGGCTATTTACTTGTTGTTGCTAATATGGAAATTGACCAGTTGTTTGTGCTTAGGTGCTCGCTGTCCTGCTAGACGATCCGTTTGAGAAGAAATATCCGTTAAAAATTCCAGTTCATTTTGTGAACAGAACTTCAGAAGAGTTTGGTTTTGATTCAGCCACAACTGTTCAAGAACTTGTTGACCGAATTAATTCCGTAAGTATAATTTATTGTATAATGATCATGACCTTGAGAGGCCCATGCCTTGTCGGTCCAGTCACCATTGTACTACAGGAGGAAACCTAATGTCTTATTGTGCCACCTCACATTATTTTGTTACCTTTAGGAAATTGGTCTTCGTTCAATTGATCAAAGTGGTTATGCCTTGTACACTGATAATCCTGTTGGGCCTGTTCAACATTGCTTACAAACGAGTGTGAAGGTTAAAATTATTTCCTTAAATGTCCTTGCTTCATTGAATAAAGTGTCTTAGCCTTACCAATATAACAACTATATAATTTTAGTAGAATCATATATACTACTACTAAAACAATTAGATTACTCGCTCACAATTTCGGGCTTCGCCCTCATCAACTACCACCTTATAGAAATCTCGAGCTCGTAATCTAATTGTTAATTAAATAGCTTTCATATACTATATTCAAATGCCATGTTTGTTTTCTAGGTATGTGACGTCATTTCAAAATGGGAGAAAACAATGCAGAGTTCCCAAGGACGACATGAACCAAATCGTATTATCCGATTGAGCTATAAAAATAGGTAACCAACTGTTTGGCATTTTAGCATAGCTTTATATTCGCTGCGTGAGTTTGTCTGTCTGTTAGTAAGGTGACCCATCTATTTGAAAAGAGATTTTTTCGTCATTATGGAATAACAACCAGAATGTTTTTAATCTAGATTGTATTTGAAGAGTCTGTCAAAGAATGAGACTCCAACCGAACGTTATTTGCTTGTTTATCAAGTATGTTCAACACCTTTAACTGATTTTACATTAAAAGTACGATGGCATCTAATATTCGTATATTGTTTATGCTTTAGACATTTAATGATATAGTGAACGGCCGTTTCCCTATGGCAAAAGACCGCTGTACAAGAATGGCTGCATTGATGGCTCAGGTGAGAATGTCGTTCAAAGGAAGCACAAGTCCCATAAGCGTACCGGGGGGGGGGGGGGAAAAAATGGGAGAACTAAATTGAAAAGCAAGTCGAAAATGCAAGAAATATATGTGGCCAAACTTGACAACTTGCTACAAGATTGTTTTGAGTTCAAGTGTTACAAGTTGTTACAAGTTGTTGACAAGTTGCGAGATTTTTACGTATGTTCAAATATTTGCAAACAACGGCAGCTACATGCGTGAACTATGTCTACGACTATCTTATTTTCAGATGGAATTTGGTGATCGTGTCGCTCAAAATAATCAAGGTGAAGATAGGATCTCCATGATCCAAGAGAGATTTTACCCGAGGAAACTGAAAGAGCCAATGACAAGCGAGCAGCGCAGGTGAGTTTTTTAAAGATGCATGTGTTTTTAAGATGTTTTTCAAGCGGTTTCTGGGAGCTAAAGCACTTTAGCTACTTTAAACTTCGACTCGCCATTCATCCACTTTATTTCTACAGTAGTGTAGTCCTACACTACAATTTTAGCTGAGGGGCGTGAACAAAATTTCGATTCTTGGGTCAGCATTTTAAGTGATGCTATAGAAAATACAGTCATTACATGGGTCATCAGTCAGAATATACGATCCTGAATATAAGAAAAAAAGTATTGCTGGTCTGAACTTCGTATAATGCCAAATATTGGGGGAAGAACTACGTATCTTTTTAAAACCAAGTAATGATTTTTATATATGCGTTCTTTTCAAGACAATTGAGAAACAGGTTCCTTGATGCATGGCTATCGCTGTTAGGAAAAACGAAGCAAGAATGTATAAAGCTGTATTTGTGCATAGCTAAAAACTGGGCCACATTTGGAGCGAAATTATTTAAGGCAAAGGTCGGTATAGTTAGCCAAATAATTTGTAATGCCATACTTCGTTATTACTGTGATTTGAGAACCTAATTTCATTATTTTTAGCAACGTCGTATTGTGTCGAGAAAACGCGACTCCGCTTCGGAAAATTTGGAAGATGTGTGGTTGGCGGTTGAAGAAGAATGCATTAGTATCCTTGATGTCACAAAAATGGTAAGAACGAAGCCAGCAAATGCTTAATGCGCATTTGATTGGTTAATTGATAG